TCGCTTTTAATTAAACAGAAAGACAATACATCAACTTGCATGCATGCAACTACCAATTGCAATTGGTTCAATTTACAGTTATTAATACGAAGTTAGATTTTGCCAACATCATTATAAACATTTCTTTTGAAAAAACACAGGTATTTTCTTAGGTTGTTAAAGAAACCAAACACCACATTTCTCCATAATTATACAAAGGTCTTGACAGATTTCCTTTGTGTGAGAACAGTACAAAAAAGGTGTTCAATTGTTTCAGAGTATTCATCAGAGCAGATTGTGTTTATTAGGTATTTATGAGGAAGCATCCTTTCTTTCAAAATATACTATTAAAAACGGTTTCCGATATGCAATTATATATAGAATATTAAACAGCGGTTTGATTTTAATTTCATAACTGTGTGAACCTTGTTCAGTCTTTTTATTTGTTGTGTGGAGAGAACTATTTGATTTTTGGAGTCACGTTTAAAAACTAGATGCCACATCATCTTATTCAAGCCTGTAGTAGTAATGATGGACAATTCTATAAAATATGGAAATAATCACATGCACTCCACACTCCTGCAGCAGCTGACAACCCCTTGGTTTTGTATTTCTTCTGGCAGTGTATTGTTCGTTAATGCTCTGCACATTGACTTACCCAGCATGCCATCATATATAAGTACCTTGTTGTTTTGTTCCCATCCCACACAGGACTTTGACACAATTGCTGAAGCAAATGAACTTTATGATGCTGTTTTGACCGGCTCAGTCGATCGGGACAAGAAAGGCAGTACAAATGCAGCGAGTCCTAACAAGACCCCTACTCAAGAGGAGGCTAACTCAACAACAGAGAAATGCCCAGACAAAGGAAACCCACAGAGGAGACTGGCTATATATATTGGAAACTTCCCCTGGGTAAGTAACACCCTCTCTGTTTATTTCAATCACATTTCAATTGTGTTGTCCAATATCGTTTCTGTTGTTTTATCCACATAGGCTTGCAGAACAGTGATTAGATTAAACAGAACTACGTACCCTTATCACATTCAAGATCACAAGTAAATATCTACCCCCCTGTCATTTTTTCCTCCTATATTTCGCAAACCTGCTACTACTTCCAGTGGACAACTGACAAGGACATTGTGAGCCTGGCTCAAACATTGGGTGTGCAGGACATCAAAGAGATCAAATTTGCTGAGAATAAAATTAATGGCCAGTCGAGAGGGTGAGTGGTTGCAGATCTAGTATTTCTTTTTTATGAATAAAAGTATTTTCTCTAAATGTATTTAAAGTAAGGAAATGTGTGTGTTTTGATTTATTAAAGATATGAATATCAGTGACTTAAAGCCATACATTAATTGTTTTTTCTTCTATGTTACACAGGTTCGCCGAAGTAGAGGTCACCTCAAACGAGTCATTGAAAATATTGTTTAAAAAAATACCCAAATGTGAGCTCAATGGGGAGAGGATAGACTGCCGCCTTGCCACCAGCCAGAACCTTGGTGTGTTTGAAGACATGGCAAATAGACGTAAGAACAGCATGGTCTGAGAACGCTATTGAGGTAACATTATATGACAAGATGTAAGTATGACTGTCCTCTTTAACAAAATCAATGTTTTCTCCATAGGTATACCCATGCGCGTTAGTTACTTAGATCCTAAGGACTCAGATTATTCGAACAAGATTCCCTCATTATTACCACAGGAGCCCAATCCTTCCCCTTTACCTCCACACTACCCATCACATCCAATTGCAAACAGGTTTCCATCCTTACCCAACCCTTACCATGGTCATCCTCCACCTCCCTTCCCACACATGCCTCCACACATGCCTCCACGCATGCCTCCACGCATGCCCCCACACATGCCCCCACACATGCCCCCACACATGCCTCCACACATGCCTCCACACATGCCTCCGCCCATGCTTCCACCCATGCCTCCACCCGCCATGCCGCCCCCTTATTTTCCTCCTCATCCAGTCCATATTCCCAGCCAACCTCCCAGTCTACATGTCAATCCAGCCTTCTTCACGCCAGCACCAGACGGGCCCAGCAGCAACGCTTACAGCCAACAACAGTGAGAATAATACCTTTATACATTTGAAGCTATAGCAGTGTAATATGTGTTGCTTCCCTATTGAGATAACATTTATTATTTTTAGCGATGACTTGTGGAAATGGTTAAATAATTATGACAATCTGTACATTTTCCAGACGCACATCTCAAAGTCAAGATGCAGATTTTGAGCAGCTGATGAACAGAAATAGAGCTATTGCCAGCAGTGCCATCAGCAAGGCTGTGTCTGGAGCAACATCCGGTAAGTAAAGCTGATCATATTCTGCGGAGTACAACAACACAAAACTTAATGTGGAGAAAGGACTGATAGACTTGTGAGCATTTCTTTTAACCAAAATCTGTTTCCCACCCCTCTTACAATATTAATGGAAAGTAAATGGTAATCTGTTATACAGTATATCATTGGAAAGTTACTAAATTAACAAAGTACTTTTTGTAATGACAAAGCAGAAATTAATTCAACTGCTTAAACAGTTCAAACTAACAAAAATCTAAATACTGACAATCACTCTTGTAAACTAACCAACAATGGTTTTAGCTGGACAGAAATTGTAGGATAAGTAACTGTTTAGGAAACTATGTTTTCATTTTTGCCTAAATAAACTATGTGGGGGGTACATGTTATCCATTTTTCAAGGGTTTTGTAATAATCCTAGTTGGCATACTATCAACCATAATTGAAGGGCTTAACTACGATACTGTCTCTTATATATATTCTCCTCCTAATGCAGGAGACTTGCGGGTGGCCATGGAGACTCTATTAACGGCCATTGCCATCATTAAGCAGTCCAGAGTGTATACAGATGAACGCTGCCAGGCCCTGGTCACCTCGCTCAAAGACTGTCTAGTCTCTATCCAGGGAAACGGCGGCTACAGGTTTGTTTAATTATTCTTCAGGACCCTCAGACATCTTGTTATCCATAAAGAAACAGGTTGAGACAAATACACATTTCTCAACAGGAAAAGCAGTCGTTCTGGGGAAGAAGAAAGAGACCGGGACAGGGGTCGTGACAGAGAGCGCGAGCGGGACCGAGAGCGCGACAGAGAAGACTCTTCTGATTGGGACGTTGCAGGAATGTCCCGAAGACACCGGCAACATTCCCGAAGCGAAGAGAAAGACAAAGAACGCTCCCGGGAACGGGAAAGGCACAGAGATCAGCGAGAGCACAGAGATCAGAGAGACCAGCGAGATCAGAGAGACCAGCGAGATCAGAGAGAGCAGAGGGATCAGAGAGATCAGAGAGAGCAGAGGGATCAGAGAGAGCAGAGGGATCAGAGAGACCAGCGAGATCAGAGGGATCAGAGGGATCAGAGAGGCCGTTACCGCTAACATGGTAAGTTTCTTTCTAATTGTAATACTTATACTTTTTCATCAATCAGATGTTTGCTTCTTTTTTTACAAATGATTTCCACATCCTCCTTTTAGTGACCCCAATAATGTAAAATTATTATCATTGTATTTACTGAATTTAAGTAGTTTGCCCAAATGTTTTACACAAGCTAAGGTTACCATGTTCAACCCTCTGGACTTTAATTATTTAATCGTATTTCTTAATGTCAAAAGACATAGGTTTTTGTTTATGAATGTCTCTTACTTAGGCTGCCTCAGTATATCAAATCTTTTTTTCAAATTCAAGATGACTTTTATTTGACCAATTCCCAGGATAGACTAACTTATGACACTGAGTACTTTTCACGAAATAGGATGAATGATTTTCCATGGGCAATAAAGTCATTCATTGATTATATTTTTGGACCTTTCAATTGTTTATTATGCTTTTTACTATGCAGAAGCACAATTCAAAACTGGCCTCCTTTTACATTAATAAGTTAACCTGGTAGTGAGTTGAAATCATAACCATAACTATAATATATTTCTCATTATGTTTGTATAAGGATTGTGGATTTCTAGGTTTATTTCAGGGTTTGACTGGACTACTGGATTGTGTAAGTATGGATTTAAAAAATGTTCTTTTCCCCTCAGACAGATGGAGTGTTGAAGTGTGGTGAAGAGCAGACAGGACTATTTGTTTCTGCAACAAGTGCTTCAAATCTGGAGATGTCCAAGGTGAGACTGAAGATGAAGAATTCTAAAGTGTACATTTTGGTTCACCAGTCATCTGTAAATACTGCAACTTTAACTTGTTTTAAGAAAAAAATTTGATTTTAGATAGTTGCTGGGACAATTTCTTGATTGCATGCGCAGGAACACTCAATAACTTATGAACACAATGTAATGTTTTCATCACTTTCTTTTGTATTCAATTTAAGATTAAAAACATTCCCTGAAAATGTGATTCTGCTATTTTCATTCTACTCAACTATTTGGTTTGCATGAAATGCCGCCCTTACTGAGCATACATGTTATTTATATAAATATTTACAGCCAATCGTCTTGCCACAGCAAGTGGGACACATGTACCCTTCAACAAGAACACCCGTTTGCCACCCTGGCTCAGTATTGGTGAAACAATTTCCCATTGATATCAGGAAAGTGCGAAGTCTACACATCTTCCGCCTGTTTCTCCTGCACCTTGGCCAACAAAATTAATCTCTGTACTTTACATACCACTTTTTTTGGCGTCAGTTTTGGTTTATTTGAAGCCAATGCAGAAGCACTTACAATGGCTTGGCTTGTTAGCTAATGAACTTGCAGGATTCTTGCTTTTTTTAGGTTGTTCTGCCATTGTTGATTGCACTTCATTCAAAGCAACTTGTAAGTTGTCATCTTTACCTCAACATAGTAGTTTTGCTTTCTGAAGTCTTGATCTGGCCTATTTCATACACAAATAAAATTACTAGCAGCCATTTTATACAATATAACACATGCTTATAGTTGCATAGTGCACTGACACAAACATGAGAAGAAGTGTGAGAAACCATCTTCCCACTAATAGTCCCAGTCAAAAGAGTACGGTAACTACATGAGCCAGTAATACAGGTAACAGTGTCATTTAACAGCTTTATTTAGAAAAATGCATTAAACCAAAAAAAAAGTATGTTCCATTAGTCTTCACTGTAGTCTGTGGTCACATCAATATACTAACAAAGCTGTTGCATGGACATTCAATCTACCCATGCAACAACCCTACAAAGTCCATGCTGTTCTTGAAGGTGGCCAGATATGATCACTTCTCCAGAGGGGCATAATTCAACAACTTCTCAATAAGATCCACATGAGACAGGAGCATCCGCCGACAACAGTACCTCTTCAGGCCCAGGGCATCGAGAGCATCACTTAAGAGGGAAGAAGAAAGAAACGTTAGTCCCTAATGCATGGCTGAATGAATAAGTAAAGCATTAGTGCAGATAATCAGGGTAACAGCGTAAATTGCCTCAGGTAATGGCTATTATTCATTGCATCACAAGTCTAAATGTGGACTAAAAACCAAGGAGTACATGACCATACCTTGTGGCAGATGAATAGGATAAAATCTGATGTGTTGTACTTCCAGACTGCTTCTAGAAAATTACTTTGGCGCAGATGCTCCAATGCAAGGTACTTAAGGGTACCTATGAGCTCCTAAGGGCAGTATGTGTAGAGATGTAGTGCAATGACAGAAACAAGCAATATCTCACCCCTCAGTGTACTCGGCTTGAAGTAGGCCGAGGTATGCCTCCCATTTGTTTCCCACGATCTTCCCACACGTAAAGCACCGGACAGGGATGATCATTGTAGCACACCTGGGCAGAGGGAAACACATCTGGTAACTGCTACCTGAGTGGGTGGGCATGCAAATAGCAATAAAGCATACAGGTCATATCATATGTGTCGCTTATATTAATAAAATTACATGTACATTTTGATAAAAGCACTATGTTGACATGTTTTGCTAAGATTGTCTGAACGTTATTGCTTTTCTTGGGAACTCGAGCTGTTACCGGATAGCTAATGTTTTGCTAACATTCTAGCTACAACGCTTAACTAAACCTGTTTTCGTTTAAAAACATTAACGCGAAAGTACTTGTGAGCTTCATGGGCTACTGTATATAGAAGCGTAAACCCGAATGGAGCTTCCCAAGTCAAGAGTGTAACGAAAAGTGAGCCAATGGTAGCCACGCGTTTAGCACAACAGTCCACTGTTAGCTTACGTTAGCCGCCAATAACACGTTGCCACGAGTTTACATAACCAGTCAAAACCAAGTCTTAAAACTTTTAATGTACTCACCGTAAGCAATATAGTTTACAAAAAACGTTGAATTGTATGTTATTATGAGAGAAACGAGCAGCAAGAAAGTGATGGTAGCTGCGTAGCTTAGAATCCCTCGTTAACTCGATGCACACTTCCTGCCCGTTTCCTTCAAAATAAAAGCGCAACTCTTACAAAGGCTTACTTATTCTTAGTTTACAGTTTATTAAATACCCCCTCAGTGGTATTACAAGAATGGCCTGTATATAACATACAAGATTTAATCTGCTACAAACTTAGATCTCCAAAATGGCTCATGACGTTGACTAAATGCATTACAAAGTTGATACAAATAACTGATAATACATTAACAACCTCCATGAAGCTACAACACTCTTACAGGGCTGTTGTGTCACTCACACTGCATTGGGTTTTACTCGGTTTGACTCCAGTAAGAATGTACATTTGTGACTGCCACTGTAATATGTGTGTATACCATGGTGTACACTGTATACTGACAAATTGCAGGTGCCCCTAAACACGCTACCATTTTGTGCAGTGGTGTTTTTCACAGAGCAGACCTAGGATTAGAAACATGCTCTTGCTGACATCTCTCTCACTTTATTCTGATAAACTTGCCCCTGTTACACGTTTCAAAGTGTATCTTTCTTTATTTCGTAAACCAGTCTAGAGATTGGTAATGAAGTGTGTTCTGACTGCTCATAGGACATCTGCATGAAGATTTATTAGGCCCAAATTAAGCTTGCGGTGGTGGCGAGTGCTATCAAGGTGTCCCTGAGCAAGGCACTGTTCCCTCACACTGCTCCCAAGGTGCCGTACATAATGGCAGCCCACTGCTAACATTAGGATGGGTCAAATGCAGAGAAACCGTTTTGTTACTAGTCTGTACTATGTAATGACAATCAAGTTGAATCTTCAACTCAAATGAATAATTGTTAATTAATTAATTGAGCTGCAATATATGATCCTTAATTCTGAATGATTGAAATACACACTTGGGCTGGTTCACTGTCTTTATTAAAGGTTGGATTGTGTTTATTTCCTTTTTACATTTAGAAGTTTGAGGGCAGAAGGGTGTGTGCATAAGGAACAAATGTTAGAAATATATAAAAAATATATCATAACTGTCATTATCATTAGTCACCATGAAAGACGCCATCATTGCCATCAACATACATCGCCATTGTTGCCATCTTTAATATACATCATAATCACTACCAACAATATTATTACATCATTATTTATGTAGTTTAACTTGCTACGGCACAAGTGCTAAATAAGGAGTCCTATCTGAATTATTGCATTTATACGCTGTTGAAATAATGAAAATAGGATTTTTTTTTTAAGTACACTGTATTGTACAATGTCGGGTGAAGTTTGTTTTGGTGTTGGCCTACCATCTATTGGTTGTGTTTTGGTGTTCACTGAGGTATGTTTGTATACTATTTTTTTGCCAGTAATGTGTTGTGAAATTCACAAGTACTGTTACAACTTGTATAAAATAATGGTGCGAATCAGAACTGTCTTTCTGTTATCTTATGGAGCAGAGGGCCTCCCTATGGCTTTGACAGTACATGTAAGTGGGCACTATTGTGTACAGCTGAACAGGTGAGTGTTGCTGCTTAATAATTGTTAATGCTTCACTTTTTTTCCTCCCCTAAAGTGCGCTACACCCTACTTTCAATGTAGTAGAAACATACGCTGCTCTCATTAAATAACAGTTACACGTATCGATTTTTTCCTAAAACTACATTAGTGGAACACAATGAAGACATAAACAATGAAGCAGGCTTTGAACCTGATAATGCAAGACTAATGGCTGTCCACCCTGTTACAGCAAAGTATCTACTGTAAGATGTAAAACAGAATGAACCCACACCACTGTGGATGGTGTGTGAGACATGAAAGGTTAATTGATTTGTGACATCATTTGACAGAAAAATAACTCTTTCTTATTCTACAGCAAGAGGTAACTTCACTATTATTATCTAAAACATACTGTACATGTTTTATCTCTTACAATCCTCTACATCCCATTTCTTAAACCACTGCATGCTTATATTTTATTTTGTATTGCACTGTACCCTTTGACATGTTTTGGGTATGCAGTGTCTCTTAACTGAATCCCATCATTTAGGCATTTGTTTAGCCAAAATATGTGCAATACATCACAATGCATAGTTTCATCTAATTTCAGGTCTTCCCTTTAGATAGTTTAAAAACAAAAAATAAGTCAAATAAGACCTACAACAACTCTGATAGCCAGTATTACAATTGTAATGTTTCAAGATTGTGGATAGTTTTTCATTATTATTTAGTGAACCAGCAGATTTTCAGAGTAAGAATTCACAAATATTGCTAGGATGTCAATATATAATGTAAACTGCATTAGATAAGATAAAGCAGTTGAATAAACTACTTTTAAAGAGTTGAGGCTTTGTAGCTCAGAACTACAGTGGTTTTTTTAAAGGAATTGATTACAGTACAGATGCAGTAATGAAGCAACATCATGCATATATTATGTGTAATTATGCTCCATGTCAAAAATGGAATGGTTTGATTCACTACAAGTGAAAGCAGGCCAAAACACAAACAAACATAAGACGCACAGTGGCTCCCATTCCCCCTATACCATAATAGTCTGTGAACCACTCTATAACAATGCTCTAACTCATCATCCAATTCATACTTTAATTTGAGATAATGATTTAATTTCTCCGTGCCAGTAGCAACACTCCCAGCAAGATGGCTCCTGCAGCAATAACTGCTCCACCAATGATAAAAGGTTTCAGGTGTTCCAGAGAGTCTGTGCCGGAGGCCGCAGCCTCGTCACCTGCCGCCTCTGCTTCTGCTTCTGCTGCCCCATCCTGGGCATGAGGAAGCTCGGGCTCAGGGGCTGCAGGGACTTCAGGGGCTGCAGGGGCTGCAGGGGCAGGATCAGCCTTGCGTGGGGCTGCTGGCTCCTTCTTCTCCACTTTAGGTGCCGCCTTGGGTGCTGTAGCCCCGGACTTGGCCTTGGCTTCCATGGACTCAGGGACAGAGGTGTGGTCTGGTCAGGAGGATTCTTTATAAGGTCAGCTCTGTGCTGCTTCACTGAACAAACACAGCAAACAGACACAGATTATCCCTCTAAATTAGGCTCACACATCACGTTATCTGCTCTGCTGAGCGTAGAGACACTGAATGAAAGCCTTTAAATCCATGTGTTCACTGCAGCTGAGCAGCGGTGTGGTGGTGGGCCTTAAAGTGACCTTGGAAAAAGATGACATTGATAGGAACACGCTGATGCTCAGAGCAGGGAATAGTTTATTTTGGTCTCAGCAGCTGTGACACAATATGACAGTGACATTTTTATGGCAGCTTCCTGTGTATAGCTTTTTCATGGGAAAATCTATCAGTTTTGTAATGGAGGAAGTATACTCTAACAGCTGAGTTTATTATGAGTCAAGGACTGAATCTATATTTCTCTGAGAAAGAGCCTAATCCAGACACAAACACATGTAGATGTTATCTTATCCCCTGTCTGTTCTCACTCTGTTAAACTGCATGAGTCATGTGTGCTATAAATGGAGGGCAAGATGGAGGAAAGAAATAAGGACCATCATCACTGCGAGGAAATCAGTGAAATACAAATGAGGGGGGGGGGAATGAAGGTGAAAAAAATGCTGTTATTGAATAAACGCATCACAGCTTGCACATTACAGAATATAGGCTTTACAAATAAACTTCCGATTACATCATGCATTGATTAGAAGAAATATGGACAATACATACCTCTCCAAGAGCTCTGTTGAGATTAAAAAAATAACATATGACGAAGGAACTGCAGCAGTCTCTGGAAGTGAGAATGTCCTTAATATAAGAAAATGAGAGAAAGCGGAGAGATGGAGGACACAGTAAGCAGGAGGGAGGAGAAAGAGAGGGAGAGGAGGAGAGACTGGGATGTACCATCTCGTCCTCAAGAATAGGGGGAGTCTATTTTCTTTGACTCCATCCTGGGTTTTGGAGCCTTTTAAGAATATTCTTAATCTTAAGTATTAAAGACTTAGGCCTAATAATAACGCCCATACAAGTTTTTGGAATTTTTTGAGGTACAATGCAGCGGGAGAATGTATTTGGAAAATTACAGTTAACTTGTTTTTGCTTACACAAGCTAATTTAATTTCAAATTAAACTAATATTGAGGTCAGTGTCTTAATCCTCTTTTTTAGTTCAACTATTTTCTATACAAAATAAATAAAGATTTTTTCATATTTCTGTTATGTATTATTATTTATATTTTATGATTGTTTCCTTGCAGTAGGCTACTTGTCTCCATTCTCTATGTTTTTTGTGACCATCATGAAACAAAATACCAGAGCAAATTCCTGTGAAAACCTTCTTGTCAACCACTTGTTTTGGTTTTTCAAAAATGAATCACAAATACATTTTGTAACTACATTTTCTGATAAGGCTGCAGTCATTCTTCAAACCAAAAATCATAGAGTTAGATGAATATTAAGGAAAGTGGACTGTAGAATATAATACATCTATTTACCTGCTTCTCTCTCCTGCAGAGTTGAGACCCTGGCTCGGCCCCACCCACCATGCTTAAACCTAACAGAACAAACAGGGACATTACCACTTTCAGATCAGAGGTCATTTACACATACAGTGCTTATAATAGGGGTCACAAATGCATAGGCTACAAGGACAGATCGTTGTTGGGCGGAATTAAACTGGTCTAGTCTACTGACACTATTTCTGCATTTTGCCCCACTAGCACATTCCCTAGTAAGAGTATTGGCCACACCTTATCAGTATTTTATGAGTCACGTTTTCTTCTCTACAATCCTCCCTGCATCACGTTTGCCCCTGTTTGTACACGTTTATAATGGCATGCATTACAGCTATGCAGAGTAAATTATGTTTCAAATCAAGTTTTATTTATATAGCACATTTATAAACGATTTTTGGTCGAGCCAAAGTGCTGTACATATAATACAAATAGCCTACAGTAGAGACACTTTACAGCCAATACAACAGCACAGATTGTTCAGAATATCAGTATGAGAAAAACGACACCCTCTATCCTTAGACCCTCACATCGTACAAGGAAAAACTTCCAGAGAAAACCCACAGTTTAAGGGGGGGAAATGGGAGAAACCTCAGGGAGAGCAACAGAGGAGGGATCCCTCTCCCAGGACGGACAGACGTGCAATAGATGCCGTGTGTAAATCGAAGAGATAATACATTTTACAGCATATATACCGAATGTTAGGAAATGCATGTGTCTGTAATAAGAAGATGGCACACACCAAAGCTGTCACACCAATGACAGCTTTGGTTGTATTTTCAGGCTGGAGATCCTCTGCCACATGGCCTGGAGCCCTGAGGTCAACAGGCTATGTGTGAAAGTGAGAGAGACGGAGAGACAAGGTGTTAATGAAGCTTTCCTCATCCATTTGATCTCTTATTTAAAACATTGTTGGCATTGCTTTCGCTTGTTCGCCTGCATTTCTGACAGATGACAGTAGGGTGGGTACACCACCAGAGTTTATTACGTGACGCTGATCCACGCCCAGTGTACGTAGCTCCATGAAAAGATTTGAACAGGTCAAGACAGTAATCGGTAACGTACTGATCAGATGCGTTGGTTTACCGGTTGATATGAAAGATACTGTCAAAACCATAGACTGTATGGTCAAAACGAGTCAAATATAGACCCATACTAGTGATCTAAAACTGGTTTCAACTACAAATACAAACAAACGCCTTTATGACAATCAATTATTTATAATATAATCGAAAATCAAATCAAAATACCCCTATGTAATGACATGATTACGATGTGGGATTAATAAAAGTCCATCTTTGATGTTTAAATCGGGTCATAATATTTTACATCAAGTTTAATAGATTACATAATTAGAAACACAAGTTAAAACTGTGAAATAACCTTATTTCTTCGGGTAGTCTTTACACGTATAGACTACAGTCCAGATTAGTGAACGTAAATTAAGGTTAATATTGACAAAAATGTTGCTTATAATTCACGTTTATTTACTACACAAGTGAAGCTTTGCCTGTACGTCCCTTGGTCCTTGGACATTGGTTTGGGTCAATTCTAAATTACGCATGCGTTGTGGCAAAACTGGGCCCATTCAAACACGCATTTTGACATTTTCTCCTTTAATGTAGTTTACGGATTTTAACTTGTAACCACTACCCTTCAAAACAGACCGCACCCTCAAATTAACAACCGACTGACTAACCAAAACAGTGTCCCCCAGGGTCTTTCTGTGTGACTCTGCAAAGGGAGGGCAGCAGCCTCTCGGAAACACTGCCCTCTTTGATTCAGCTGCAGATTCCTTAATATTCAGAAACCACCAGTGGCGCCCTTTCTCCGCAGGATCTCCAAAGTGTCTGCGGTCTGCCATTTACAAAAACGAGTCAGGTGTGCGTAAACATAACGTTGCCGTGCGGGATTTGCGCAGCCAAACACGGAAGGGGAATAGCCGAGTTGTATGTATTTTTTTTTTCGTGGGAGAAATGTCCGAGGGGATGGACCAGATCCTGTGGAAATGCTGCCTCCGTTTAGCTGCTATCCGCTCCGGGGTCCGGGAGTTGTCCGGCTGATTGCACACACCAGCCGCTGAATACACGTGAGGATCGCCTTTTTCGTCAAACCCCGAGGCACTTTTACCTTCTGTGGATAGAAACCATCATGCCGAGCTCCAACGACGGAGGGACATGAACAACGACCCTCACTCAGTGAACTGCCACAACCGACGACGTATTGCAATAAAGCGGAGAAACGGTTTGAAAACGACCGTTTGATTAATAACGCTCTTTTTAAATGGACTGTAGCAGGTTTTCCTGGGCACATTACAGGGAAAGCTCTTTGATGTATTTGGATTCATTCACCCTGCTGCTGTAATGACGTCTACACGGTTATTGTAAAAATATACGCGGAGACATTTGTGAATTCACCCCCCCCCCCAGCTCTGAGCCGGTGTCGGGGAAAGCGAGGCTGAGGCGGGTCGCCGGTCGGAGGGATATGGGAGCGCGAGCGGAACCGATGCAGCGGGTCGTGGCACGGCTTCGTCAAAATACAGGTGAGCAGCAGGACTGACTGATAAACTGTCTTTGGTGATATGCACATGCAGGGCAGCCTGTCGACCGCGAATTGACAGTGTGACCCGGCTTTTTAATCCACGTTTAGTGCTTTCTTGAGACACAATTCACAGGCCACGTCTCCATTAGCTAGGCCCGCAGGATGCCACTTTTAGCAACTGTCCGGATTAAATGAGATTAGACTATGCCGCCGCGGCTGCTGATCGATTTGTTGGGATGACACCGTGAGATGATGTTGCACATGTTAACACCAAGGGCTGCAGCTCACCTTAGGGCCATGGGTCATTCAGTGTGTATTTGTCCTTTTATTGTACAGTCAAATTACTATATATTGTACCAATCACTACAAAAGTCCAACGGTAGATGACTAGTTAGTTAGTCTAAACTGCAGTTGTTACAATTCCACTTTTACCACTACCAGTATTGGTCTTGTTAATGTATATGTTTGATCTCGAAGCTATGGTTAGTGCAGTGGTATTTTCATGACTAGAAGACTTCACTAACCAGACGTTAAACTTTACATGACCAAGATTATGCTTTTGGTTGAGCAGCAGTACATGACATGTTTCCTTTTTAAGAAAACGACCTGGAACAACGACAGTAAGGGGAATGTCACACCTGTTTATCACTCACTCAGAATATTTCACCCCTCATTTTCTCACAAGCTCAAGATAGGTTATCGTTTTTCTTTATTGCCATTGTCTCCATGCAAGGGCAAATGGCTTTATGTCCCAATGATGATACTAAACAGCTCTAGGTTTATGGCACGAAGATGAGTACTGGAATCATCCAATACTTCACCCAGATTTGACTATTTACATCTTTATTATTGTATACTGATGTCTGATCTGCTTCTTGCCTTTTACCTCAAGCATATCAAGTATAGATGAACCTATACAAAATATACTCAATCAAATTTGAATGAAAAATCCACATGACATCCCTGCCATGTAGGGCTGCACCAACACCAGTGTTTACTGTTGGTTCCTTGGCCTCCCTGTAGACTTCCACCCGAATGGAAACCAAGTCCCTTCAGGGAGTCCTGGCAGATACACTATGTTGTCTCCTTGTTATCCAAAGCACACACAATATGTGACTCCTATTTGTGCCAGAAAACTTCTCTGCCCTGATATTGACTAATTATTTGAGATTGTTTGATTGAACAGGTCCTAATGCTTGGAAGTGTTGATGATACCAGCTGGTGAAGGACACACTGCTTTAGGATGGTTAAGAAGTGAAGTAGAGCATTATGCCTTTTTAAAATGCCGACAACACAATTTAAAAAAAAAGTGTAGTCCTGGATATTAGAGTTTTGATCAAGGATATTAAGTACAAGAGCTGTATGGCGCTCTCAGAAAGAGTATAGGTGATGTTATTTTAATTTTTTTTAGAACTTAATTTAACATGCCGTAGTTATGCTTGTTTGTAAACCAACATGTTACAGTAATATAACATGTCATAGTTTTATGCTAATGTTTTATCATATTACTACTGTTTTCAGTTCTTTAAGGGTCAGTGTAACTGATATATTAGTAATTATACATAAAATAATGACAGTGAAATCCAGTTGGACATGAAGCCTTGATGATTTCTGAGACGGTTATTGTACCATAATAACTCATACTCTTACAACCCTATCTTCAGTCACTTCTTTAAACAGAAGGAAGTCCTGTTAGATATAACTGCCTCGTGGTTGTTTTGATGTGTTTTTTATGGTTCTTTTATATTTTCTGTCGGTTCCTCTTTTTCTCAAAAGCTTTATGTTAAAATACATGATAACTTAGGCTTTAGGATTTGTATGCACTCCTTTTGAATGTCCACACTAGTGCATGTTTTCAAATGTATTTAGAAAAAAATGACATTCCAAAGCTGTGTGATTATATGGAGCAGAGAAATAACACAACCCTCGGACATGTTTGTAGTATATGTTGTTTTTAATTTATATGAATCCAAAGCAGTCATAAACTCACATTAACAAACACTTCATTTACTTCCATTCTGTGACCAACACCATGTTGAAGGAACAATAAGCATTTGTCTACTCATTTAAGAGGGAATTATTTTCCATTTATATATATATATATATTAGGGCTGTCAAACGATTAACATTTTTAATCAGATTAATCACAGCTTAAAAATTAATTAATCATGATTAATCACCATTCGAACTATGTCCAAAATATGCCATTTATTTATGTATATTGTTGTGGGAATGGAAAGATAAATGAAAGAAGGCGGATATATCCATTTAACATACAGTATCTATGTTTATTATAACATTTTTCTGCGTGTCAAAATGAAAGACAACCTATCAATCATCAAACCGTGGGGTCTTAATTCATTACGTGTTGATTTCTATCAATGGGGGAGTACTTCAGGACAGTCGACAGAGGGGGGGGGGGGGGCGGCGGCGGCTTGTGGAGTACTTCGTGACCACAGAGTGTGAACGTTGTGATCAGCTGTTTTAGCGCAGTTCTCCAGTGAAGGGGGGAGTCTCCCTCCGCCGCCGGTTGGCGTAGTTTTGGCACAATTCCGTTGTACAGACCGACGTTAACAGCAGCCCTGTCTGTGCACACGGAGACCGACTCTGTCGTCCGGTGATCTAACCGCCTTCTGGAAAAGCTTCACAAGTACGTCGGTACGCAAATGCGCTTTGTGACACAAGTGACGGTACGCATTTCAGATTACGCACATAACCTGCGTACCAGTTATGTGCACCCCTGTACTACAGCAAAGGTATTCTCCGTCGGGACTTCCTGCAACAACACCACGCCGTTATCAAAGATGTTCTATTGAGAAGACGATCACTACGTGACAAAAGTTTTCAAAACCGTGGCTACTGAAATCAATCTTACTAACAGCTGTCTGTGCAATTTACTCCGCGCGAGTTGGCAGACTTTATTTTGCTTACTTTAACATCATTTTTCATGGTGGGGCTAAGCCATTTCTTGGTATGGGTGTAGCCTACCCCAGCCATACCCTGGCGCTGCCACTGGTGGCACGTATGGGGCGGGCCATTCTGCACATGCATTAAATGCGTTAAATATTTTAACGCAATTAATTCAAAAAATTAATTACCGCCGTTAACGCGATAATTTTGACAGCACTAATATATATATATATGAATTATTAATTTCAGCTATATCGATCAGTATTTGGAGTAAAACTTTAAAGGGTATATATCATGCAAAATGCACTTTGTGATGTCTTTTATACATACATATTAGAGGTGTAACGGTTCACAAACATTTCGGTTTGGTACGTACCTCGGTTTTTAGCTCACGGTTCGGTACGTTTTCGGTACAGCAGAAAAAATGATCACAAAACATAAAATATTTTTTGGGGGTTTTTCATTATTATTAAACTGTGAATAATGTATTCACTCAAATAAATACAACATATAATACAATAAATGTTAAAGGTGGGGTAGGTAAGTTTGAGAAACCGGCTCGAGATACACTTTTTGTTATATTCCATGGAATGCTCTTAACATCCCGATAGCAATGAATGTCTTAAGTGCTTTGACAAAAAAATCATCTGTGGAAGCCGTAGTACTGTAAAAAGCACGACCAATAATTTTAGCCGGCCCGGCTAAAATAACTGGATGGCCTACCTGCCTGTCAGCCTTCCATCTGTGCACAAACTTATCTCGTGCCCTCATTGGTCATGTGCGCGTTCGTGTGTGTTGGAGGAGGGGCTCTGTAAGGAAGTAGCAGATTTCTTCCGGCTGTGTATTTTCAAATTCTAGCGCACTCGAGCTGGTTTCTCCAAAATTACCTACCCCACCTTTAAGGTGCAGCATTTCGATGAACTGAAATAGTCTGTATTTGAACTTTACTGTACTAGTACTCACAAAACATAAAATATTAGTTTTGGGTTTTTAATTATTATTAAACTGTGAATATTCACTCAAATAAATACAAAATATAATAAAATAAGCATTAAGGTGCAGCATTTCGATGAACTGAAATAATCTGTATTTGAACTGTACTGTACTAGTACCTAAGCAGCCAGTTTGACATTATGACTTGCTTGTCATTGTATTTTCATGTTTTTTTAAAAGAAAAATGTACTTGTCCACATTGCTTGCCGAAAGGGCAGATCTGCTGGCACTAACAATGTCTCCTGCTGTGGAGAACACCCTCTCTAGGGACAGAGGTAGCAGATACAGCCAGGTAGCGCTTTGCTAACATGGCAACATAAGCGTTTGTTTGTTTGTTTTTAGGCGTTTGTAATAGCTTTGGCTCGGTCTGAACTTTTTGCGAGTGGTGGAGGCTTAAATGCTAGTGGGAGTTGGGTTTGCACTTCAGTCATTTTTCTTTTGATATCGGTGATATTCACATTCGGGTGATGCCTTTTCAAATGAGTGTGCAAGTTTGATGTAATGCCAGCCGCGTAACCAATTTTAGTTGAACAATGCCAACAAGCAGCTTTGGTTCGGTCCACCTGTCTTTGTCCGACATCCTTGTACGTAACTGCAAAACCAAAATGTTCCCAAACCGGAGACTTCAATGATGCTGGAGGATTTTCAAACTCAACTTTTGCTGCGTTCGTCAGTTCCTCAAATGACTGACTAAATTTGAACGCATCCCTGTGACCAACTGTCATAGTATGCCACTCATCCAATGAAATGACTTGGTCGCTCTATGAGGCGTTGAACCCAATGTGAGCAAATTACTCTGAATGCTGCGACGCAGCACCTGAGATTACTTCCAAAAAGGTGTTCACGTTCTCAATTCTTTACGTTTAACGTTATATTCGTTCGGTACACACGTGTACCGAACCGAAGGGCCCATACCGAAGATTTTCGGTACGAATACGTATACCGCTACACCCCTAATAAATATGTGTGTCAGGGAACTCACGCAGCGTCAGATAATAAAACCCTCTCTTTTCCTCCATACCCAAATCTCTAAAAACGGGGCTACAACGGAGCTGATCCAGATTTGCGTCCGATATGACGTAATATCGGAAATGTGGA